GGAAAGACTGGTTTGGACAAACCTGTTTCACCATTGTCTGACTTCACTTCAAATACAAATCAAACCGGCAATACGGTCGTGGATATATTTGTAACATTCAAGAAAGATATCTAAGAAATTCTAAGCATGACTCGGCTTCACTGGTATAGCAAACTATAAATAAATATCAGTAAGGGGGATCCCTCAACTACCAATATGTGTAGTTATACAAGTGGTTGGGCAAAGTGACATCTTATTATTGTATGAAGTGGACTGTACATATGATTTTGATGTGCGAAACTAGCGACTGCTCGAAATTTGTTTAAACTTCGAACATATTCACCTGTTAGAGGTTGATACAAAAGCTTGTGCCCGACTAAAACTTCTGATAATAATCACGCTTTGATGAAGACATTCTGCATTGGCATGCCAAATGCATTCAGTTATTATCAGAAGTACTGCTCATGATTATAAGTTGTAGTTGGGGTCATGCTTTTGTAACCATCTCTAATAGGTGAATATCTTCGAAGTTTGCAGAAATTTCGAGCAGTTACTTGTTTCGCACATCAAAATTTTATACACATTTCACTTCATACTATGATGCATAAGTAGACGTCACTTTGCCTAACCACTTGTACAACTACACATATGGATAGTTGAGTGGTCCCCCTAACTGACATTTATTTGTTACAGTTTGCCACGACAGTGAGTCCGAGTCATACCTAGAATTTCCTACATATCTTTCCTGAATGTTACAGAATACATCTATCACTTTGTTCCTGATGTACACTTACTCCTAGTGTAAAGAAAGCAGGTGGAGTGGTAGACTGCGTTGATCACTTCACTTACTTAGGGAGATGCATCAGCCTGAACAGACTTGTTCCTGACTAAGTCTCAGCTGGGACACAAGGCCTGTTTAACATTTACCAGCTTGCATCATCTGTGGCGTCGACTAGTGAGATATTTGACTTCCTATCAAGCGACGAGTATACTACGCTGTAGTCCGTTCTATCTTGTTATACGTTTGAGAAATGGTCGTTAAAAGTAAATACGAAGTGGCTACACAGTTTTGATCACAGGTGTCTTCGTAGAATTGCTCGTGTTTGGCGGAATCACCGTGTCAGCACTGTCGAGATTAGGCGAGGAAGGCAAGTCGATCGATGGGGTTATGAACCTTAGTCGACTGCGATGCCTTGGACTTGTATTCAGCACGCCCAGCCACCGCCTACCTTGGCGTACCATGCTAGGGGGAGCTGGATTAGGTTGGAAGAGGGTTCAGGGTGGCCAGATGAAGACGTGGCACCAGTTGATGAAGTTCGTGACTATTGATCTGAACCTTGTGGGGAGATGTAAACTATCTCCCTGGGGACTTCGAGATGAGTTGTTGAGTACTGTTGGTGAAATGCCTGAAAATCGGTCACAATGGAGCGGATGTAATCTCTCTTTATTATCTTTCAAAGTTTGAATATTCATGCTGACCTTTACCTTCGAATTCTCTTTCTCATACATACTTTTGTTCACTTTGTTAATCACTCTTTTTCTATCCACTTGTTCTTTGTATGCTACTGTAAAGTATGGCAACGTTGATTTTTTTCTCCTGTTTATCTGATAGAGTTACATGTTTATGTCATTAAAAAAAACTTTCCATATACTGGAAAAATGACCTTTTCGCTTCTCTTTCCCATTCTTTTTAGGTTGTTCTAAGTTTGTTAAAGTTTTGGCCAAAAACACATAGTCCTAAAGAGGTGATGTTTTGAATGAATTAGAAGAAATCCTTGATGTTGTCGATCCATCCGAATTTCGAAAAGTTATCAGGCCACTTTTTACACAGTTAGCTAAATGTGTATCATCGCCTCATTTCCAGGTGAGTATATACAGTGACCTTTTTCACACATATATATATTATCATTCCTGTTCATTTTACTTCGTTTTGACAAGAGGATGATTTTTTGTTTAGTGTCATATACCATACTTTGGTTGAATCATGGGTCTTGAAAAAATTATTTTTTATAGTTAATCATATAATTTAGAAAGCCACTTTTTAACTTAATACCAGTCTGTTATGCGATATAAGTAATGATAATCATAACTCATTTCAACTCGATTCAAGTAGATGAAGTGTGGTTTGTGCTTGTAACTTTTTATTTAAAAGTATGTTATTTAAGTCCTATTCTCAACAGCATTGACACTGCCTCAAAATATTCACGATTGGAATCGTAAATATAGAGTGTTGATAACGTTGATTTAAGTTATGAATTAAATTACTGAAACCGATCTCTCCTCTTGTATTTGTACTTCATAGTACTTTTTGATATAGATTGAGCAAAACATATCGATAATATTTGTATTATTCGTATTAGGGTAGTGTATATACCGATGTCCTGCTCTTGGTCTGCATTATTTGTCGGTGTGTAGCATTGTTTGATTGTAACTTTCATTTCTTTTGATTTGAATCTTGCTATCATGATCCTGGAGAACATTGGTTCCCACTGCCTTCGATACTCTTAGGGACATTATGACAGCCACTCCATAACTCAGTGTGCTTGTGACTGTCATCTGGATGACCGAGGTATATTATTGACTTTCTAGTTAACAGTTTGGAGAGTCCACTTCCGTTCCATCTGCTTTCACAAATTTCTAGCACTTCTATGCTATACTTCCTCATCTGTTTTGCAATCTGGGCAGCCTTGCCAGCCAGCTTCAAACATGGTGCGGACATTCCATGTCCCCATGTTTACTTTTGCTTTCATCGAGAAAAGGGAAAATACATTGGCCAGTTGACTTCTCGAAGGCTTTCACCATCCTAATTCCAGATAAGAATGAGTTTATTTTTTATATTTTTTGTGCTTTGAAGTTTTTTTAGCGGTTGGATTGATTTTTCGGGGTAGGGTCAATAGCCCCACGCTCAAACTTTCTCTCTTTTTCCGGGCTCAAAACCGGCTAGTGAACTAATGAACTCGTAACCTTGAAGATCTACAGGCGAAAACTAATAAGTTGGGAGAAGAGGCAGAGAAAATGGGACTTCAGATGAACGTAGAGAAGTCAGAGGTGATGAAGATACCCAAACGACAATCACCATGAACGGGAGGAATCTAAAGGAAGTTGTTTCTTTCATATAACTACCTAGGTAGCATCGTTTCAACTATAGGCGGCGGCACAGATAAGGATGTCAATGCCACGATCGGAAAGACAGCAAGATAGGCCTTCCTTCCAGTGTGGAGATCTACTGCACTCAGCATTAAGCGTGAACAACATCCGGATTTTCAACACTAATATCAGTCTAGTAATTCAGTGCTTCTATGTGATGGTTGAGAGACTTGGCGGGTCACGAAAAGCATTTCCAACAAACTACAGACATTCATCAACAGCTGCCACCTACACTCACTCCGTACTGAAGATCACATCAGAAGGCCAGGAAGAATAAGCAACAAGGAGCTCATTGTGTCTGTCAACGAACCAACCAACAACCCATCACCCAACAAATATGCAGGAGAAAGTGCAAATGTATTGGATTGGATTGGATTGGTCATACACTGAGAAGACCGTTTGGGGACATCGCGCGGTAGACCAGGCTTTCGAGTGGGAGCCGAGTGGGGAACGACGAGATGGGCGTCCAAGGCGAGGGTGAGGAAGAAATGGAAGCTTTTGGACAAGTCATGGAGCTAGGTGAAATTAGACTGCAGCGAAGAGATTGAAATGGTGATGTGCTGTTGAAGCCCTTTGTTCCACTAAGAACTCAAGGGACAAATAATAATCATAATAATAATAGCAATAATAATAATAATAATGATAATAATAATACTAGGTCCATGTAGAGTATTGCATCCGTAATCCTTAATTCTTATCTGATTAATATCAATGAATGATTTATAACTCGAGAAAATTTCACTTTACCAGTTCAGTGACCTCTAAAATAACATTCAGACCTTCCTTCATTTCTTTCAATATGGACAACTGATTGTTTTGTTTCAATCTCATACCAAAATTTATGCTTAAGATACTTGTGCTTGTGAAGCTGGTTGTATTTCCTGACTTTTACGAGTGTGTATGTGTACATAAATGTGTTTATCTATGTCATGTGAAACAGCTAGAAATGCAAATTTGTTAACTTCTGTCCTTTTGATAAATTTTTGTTCTTGCATAGATTATGAAGCTGCATAATTGTCTTTTCATTTATTCGACAATGTTTTCTTGTTCAGATTAGTGAATAAAGATGACTTGATCACTGTGGTTACTGGTATATCAAATCTATCTTTAATAGTTATTTAGTGAAACTTAACTCGATATCAATTATCTCTTATCTTAACAGTTTCAATAGTCCATGCAAAATGTAAGAATATGCGCTGCGATTGTTTTTTACATGGTTGAATTCCTGGCATATAATGCAAATAAACAACCATGAGCAGTTTCATGTTCGAGAAAATTAGTCATCACATTGTCGTTTAACGGTTGTGATGTTGCCTGGTCACTTTAAAGGCCACCTTACCAGCTGCTGAAATGATCAATCAGGCTTCGGTATTTCGCCTGGGAAAGTTATTTTTTTTTTACAAAATTTCATGCTCAGGTGGAATACGTTTTGATTTCATAACCTACCGGTTGAAAATTTGGTGCCTAATCCTTTGAGTTGTTGTTATTGTTAGCTGGAGAACTGACAGAAAGTTGGTTTGTATTCATAAGTCTACACCAATGAGTACAGTGTGCAGATTTCTTATACTCCTGTGTCAATAGTTGTGTTCTTCTTTTGTAGTCACCACTTGGGTCTATCATTGGTCAACTTAGTTGATCGATGCGCTGCCTTGTAGTACTTATTGGCTTCACGCAGTTCCTGTCTTCCTACACTAGGAGTTACTATCCGCTTGATATTTCTGAAAGAGAAGGTTCTTTACTTCTGCAGGATATCAAACCTTTGCTTCGTCTTCTTGAGTGGCCATTTAACCGTATGCTACTGTTTTCTTCTGGATAATTGTCTCTGTTTCTTGAGAAAATTTGATATTTTTCTCAATAAGCCTCAGTCAAAGGGATTTTTAAGTGCCTACTTTTTCGAAGCTTCCACTTTCCTACTGGGGAACACACCTCATCTGGAATTCGTGTCGCCCTAAACAAACACCATCATCTTGACACTCCTACTGCAGTGTACATAATTGTGCTATGAGAGTAACTGCTTGTTTTTCTTTGCTACTACTACTACTACTACTACTACTTAGCTGGTGCTATTTGCATTTTAGGAACTCAGTACCGATCGAAATTAGTATCACTAGACTGACCTTCTGCAGTAGGCCACTACAATAAGATGGCAAATTTAAGATCTTACTTATCAAAACTCAGTTGCTATTCCTGAAGACATTAAACACCTTTTCTGTGTTGCGATTGGTGTAAGCACCTGTCAACGAATTAAAAGGGTGTAAATCGTATTCGCCTCCGTCAACGGGATTGACACTAGAGCTACCCTAACAACAAGTGAAATAACCAATCACAACTCTATTTCCTGTGGTAATTACGCCTTTACAGCCAAAATAAAGAGACCTAATTAGTTATTGAAGTTGTTGCTAGAGCGACATTTAAAATCACGGGTGACCTTAATGGCCCCCTGACAACTGCCAAAATAACCAATTAGGTTGCTGTGTTTTCGGCTGAGAAAAAAACTCACGGAATAGAGGAACGTGATTGGTTGTTTCACCAGTTGCTAGGGTGGTCTTTGAAGTCACTCGAAATCACTCGTCGACGCAATGACTCAAAGGCCACCCTAGAAAACTACTGAAATGACCAATCAAGCTTCGGTATTTCGCCTGGAGAAGTTGTTTTCTATAAAATAGCGGAATTTAATTGACTTTCTTATCGGTTACTAGACTAGGGTGGCTTTTAAAGTTACCGCGTCAACGACATCAAACAATTAGGCCTGTAACTATGGCTAATATGTTTTTCAAATCGCATTGTCATTATGATTGGGTGTTAATGTCTGTCCATACCTTGACTTTATTGAGGCTAGCAATAAGCATTAGTGATAATGCAACTGACATTGACAAACGCGAATGGTTTGTCAGTTCTATTGGTTCTTTACCTAGCTTTTCAGGTCAAAGTGTTTGTAAAAACGTTGATGCGAACAACTAACAAATTTTAGAATATTTTTTCCTTCCCAAATCAATATCAATCAGATGGCCGGTAGGTTATTGATGTGTATTGAAGATCTGTATGATTTCCAATTTTAGGATATTCTTCAGTGTAAATAATCTGACATTCTTACTGATTCTCCGTGTCCAGTGCTAAATATATCATGCATTTCTCTTTTATATTTTACTGACAATTCCCTACTTCTATTTTTCCTATATTCTTCAGTTGCCATCCCCCTTAGCAATGGTCATCAACTTTTCCACTTGTCGTAGTCGTTGGAGGCTCTTGTTAAACACCTCCCCGAAATTGAATCATCAAGTTAGCGGTTTCATAGACTTCACTAGCTTTGAAGATAATGTTCATTAAGAAAGAAAATCAGCTATTTTATAAAAAGATGGTGGTTTTAACTTGCTTAAGTTACTAAATAATGGATACTTGCATAAATACTCATGCATGGGTTATGACTCGTAAATCAGTACACAGGTATTTATGATTTATCATTTCCTTTCTAATTATTACTGAAGATTGTGTAGCACATGACAGTTGTTCCACTTTACTTCGAATGTGCAATATTTAATGTTAGTGCATTAGAAAAGGAGATATGTACCGATGCCTATTTCCTTTATTTACGTAACGTTTTCAACTGCTGAATATTCTGTTTCTTTGCCGTTTACAAGCACGTGTTTGTGCGTACACTAGGGTTCACGTATCTTATGCATTGTCATATGTTGCAGTGTATATATAATCCGGGATGCA